AGAGTCAAATGCTTTTGGAATATCAAGAAACGCCACGTCTGTTATGAGACCTTCGTTTCTATACATAAACAACTCATTGTATACTTCCAGAAGTTGTGATTGGCAGGATTTCCCCTTCAAAAAACCAAATTGGTCTGGAGTGAAGATAGAGTTTGATGTCCAGAAGTCTAATAATTTACTTTCTCGCAAATTTTGCAAACAACGGATGTCACAGAAACTGGGCGATAATTTCTGTAGTCGTTTTTTGAACCTTTTTTTTTTTTATGAATTGGAACAACATCTGCCTCTTTCCATTTAGAAGGAACTGTACCCAGTAATAGAGATTTATCAAAAAGATCACATAAATGAGGAGCGAGTAGAACACAACAGTTCTTCAATATTGCTGGATGAATTTGGTCTGGGCCGGGAAACTTGTTCGGGTTCAAATCCTTTAAAAATTTCAAGACATCGTCTTTTGAACACCTGATAGAACCAAGCTCTTCTAACAAGACCTGTGGGAAGTTTGGCATAGATTCCGTTTTTTCTGAAGTAAACACTGAAGCAAAATAATTATTCATAATTCAGCGATTTCATTCTCCTTTGTAATAACAACGGATTCATTGGCCTGAATAGCAATCAGGTCATTTGTGCCTCTTTTCTTCGAGCCGACGTAATTCCAGAAACACTTCGCGTTATCACTTCCATTATGGATGTCATCAGCCAGTTTTTCCAAGTATTCCCACCGGGCTTTATTGCATTCACGTTTTAGGCGATTATTCAAATTTCTATACTTCTGCCATAGGCTTACTTTATTCTTATTTCTGGCCATTCCATACAGCGTTTCCTTTTTTTTACAGAGCTTAATAATCTCTGTTGTTATCCACGGAGGCTGACCATTTTCTCTTTGCCTCTTTTTCGGGATTGACTGATCGACTGCAGTTAAGAACGAGTCTGACCAAGCAATCCATATTTCGTCAATGCCATCGTAAACATATGCACAGTTCCAGGAAATGTTCATAAACAAGTCATTCAAAGAAGCCCACTCGGCTTTACGAAAATTGTAAAATAATTTCTTGGAAGCTTTGTGGCAGTATGGGTGAACATTTATATTGAAAGTTACGACGTTATGGTCTGATATTGGCTCGCCAACGGTCGTATCTTGTATAATATCTTTGTTGTTAGTTAAAACCAGGTCTAGAATGTTTTGACCTCTGGTGGGATGAAAGACCATCATTTGAGACAAGAAATTATCCAGAATAGTATCCGAAAAAATTTTATACAATAATTATTGAGCATAAGATTGTTACACCAGTCAATATCCGGCAGGTTGAAATCCCCAACAAGGACAATATCTTTATTTTGTATAGAATCCAATTCACTGCGTAGGATCTCCAAAGGTTCTAAGCCACTCGAAGGAGGACGATAAAATACTCCAAGCACAAATGATTTATTTTTTGAATGATGAATGTCAAGAAATAAAAGCTCAGCGTCCAAACCTGTAAGGACGCGCTGGTGGCAAATTAGATCGCCATTTACCGCAATAAGGACTCCACCGCCTCTTCGATCTCTGTCTTTGCGAAAAACATTGAAGTTTGAAGGGAATAGCTCGGAAGAGAAGACTGAAGCATCTAAGTGCGTCTCGGTTACCGCTATAATATCATACTTTCTTGTAAAACCTTCTGCCTCGAGAATGGATGCCTTGTTTACCAAACTTCTGGCATTGAAGGAAGCAATTTTGAGACAATTTGCAGGTCCAGGATATTGGAAGAAATATCGCCACATAGTAAGAGCTTACATGCAAATGAAGTGCGAAGGCCAAACTCGTAACGGCGCCATCTTGTAAGACTTGAGTGACTTTTCCTGTCGAAGTCCAGGGCGTACCATAAACCATCAAAGAACCGATTTTACACTAGCATTTCACAGCCCCCACCAACGCAGCACCAGTTTTTTTTTTCACCCTTTATTCCCCGATTTAATGCTTCCGCTCGAATGGCGCCCCCTATCGACGGAAATAACTAATCGGCATCCTTCCCCTCGGAATAAGTTATTCTCTCTCTCCTTTACCCTCCCCTGGGTTTGACGCACTAGTGCTTGGTGAAGCACTATGATCAAAAGCTATTCAACATAACTAATTCTTTCTGGCCACGATGTCGGGAAACTCTATAAGCGCCCTCGACCCATTGTAACTTTCATGTAAGAGCGGGGGCGCTATTTCAAGGATCTACAGTAAAAAAATAAAAACAAGTCTTTTTAAAGATTTCAAAGGACATGCCAAGCTAACCCTGGCGCCAATTTAGGAGTAATCATGCATTGTACTGGGACTGCGGTGAACAACAATGGGCCTTAATGCTTTTGAACTCTGTTTTCGTGTCAGCACAGTTTGTTCGCTTAGCTAAAGAAACTTCAAGCAAGGTCAATAAATACGATCAGAAACAATTCATAGGTGAACTTCTGATCTTCAATTAAAGACAGAGGAAGTAGATTAAGCTTCAATCGACGTTTTAACCTAACCCGCTGAATATCAGCCTAAATCTCGACTTCAGAGATAAATGTGGTATTTTTGAAAAAGCTGGAGAGGGCATCATCATCGGCCATTTTGCGGTGGCTTCAATAACTTTTTCAATAAGCATGTTCACTGACTCTTCTGGATCCTGAAGGTCTGTTCAGCGACAGAAAATGGGAACCGACCGTTCTTAAAACATATTTTTTGCCTCGCGCTCTCTGTTTTTGCCTTCACCCGCGCACGTTTTTCTGTCACTAAGGTAAGCGTTAAGACAATGTCTTTCTTAAAATCGTTTATGAATCTTATGGATAAAGGTGCCTTTAGTACAAGAAGGCTTTAGCACCACGTGCTTACAAATTACAGACAAAAGAACTAACTTATCTACCTGTGCAACAATTTCTGTGTTTTCTTAACTGTACAATAAACTTAAGAAGTAAATTACGTCATTACAAAGCTTGAACCTCGCAGAGAAAAGCGTTTGCTGACTTTACCGAGGTATATTCGGGTTAATTTACTTGACGTAGTATGCCTTTTCAACGTGTAACTGATAATTAAACGCGACAGTTGTAATCTCACTAAGCAACACGAATAGCCCATTTCCGAATTACCCATGGCCTCATTTTCAAAACTAGGCCTGGTGCTCAACCATTTTACCAAACGAAATGATGAGCACCAGGACTCGTTTTGAAAATGAGGCCAAGGGTAATTCAGAAATGGACTATTTACGCAGTGCATCACGTAGACACAATCTCAATAATTCAACGACTAAAGGGAAAAAAACGATGCGAATACAAAGCATATCAAGCATTCCAACGATACATCAAATTTAGCAAAAACACATTTACGGCGACAATTCCACTTCATTAGATATATTGATTGTCTACTGCACGCTGTATTAAAATAGGTTTAAATTTTTTTAAAATAGGTTTAAAATGTAATCATTTGATCGCGAAAAGGCTTACTGTTCTCTGCCAGAAACCGTTCAATTAACAAACTACTCAGTTAGGGTATTTTGAAAATTGTGGGCGTTCGAATAGCGTTACAAAGTCGATGACATTTCTCAGTAGTGTGGATAAAAGTCTGGTCACTGACGAGTCTTAAAAGGGTAAAACATTAAAAATTCCTCTTAGGTCAAAAAAATCCCAAGCTAAAAGAATCAAAACATTCAATTTTGTTTCAGTCTGTTGTAAGGAGATTTGCTCGAGAATGAGTTCTGAATTTGTCAAATTTTATCGACACGATTGTTTTAGAGATTTTGAGCTTTTCGGTCTCATGAACTTTTTATGTAGCTTGGATCTCCACGGTACAATGGCCTTTACGTTATACTTTGTCTTCCTTCCCGATCTCTTGTTGAGTATTATCAAGTAGGTAACTCCTTTCTTCACTCTTTCCTTCACGTTCGTGCAGCCTCTTTTCGGTAACAGCACGCGGTCAAGACTTTCGACAGCTTTCTTGGTCTTTCTCTGGCTGCGAGCTCCTTGCCTGCCAAATTTCTTATGCCTCTTGATTTTGATCACTTTGTAGGAGTTGTCACCTTTTGCATTACGTACGTTCAACACTTCAGCGCGAATAACTACGTAGAAAAAACGAAAACAAAAAATAGCATGTTTGAGAGCTTTCCAGACAGGGGGCGGCTTTCTATCTTTTAATAATATTCTTTGAAGTTCACGATCGGCAAATTGTTTATCAATCTGTTTTGCCCTTTTACCTTTTGGTTCATTCGCAGTAGCTGCATTTGCCAAGCTGCCTCAACACGTTATCTCAATAGTTTAATCCAATCAAATGGAACACTTTTTATCAGTAAAATGATGAAAGATAAAGCTGTGTAGCTTGAATACTTTAGCTGCAATTTTTGTTAAAAGAAAAAACAAACAAACAAACAAACAGAGAAAAAACATCGAAGTGAAGACATGATATTGTTTGTATTAGCGCATTGGGGTTAAGTTTGTGGCTAGTGATGTGGGTCTTGGCAATCTATCAGATCTGGAGAGCACAATGCATTTCTAGAAAGTAAACTAAAGCTTAACAGCTAGGACAAACGTGGGTGGTAATTTACAAACTTTGCCAATCATTTTTTTTTCTAACCAGGAAGAAATCGTAGCTTAAGTTAGCCTGTTCCCCATGTCCCATGAATGCAACGACAACACCCGTCTCTTCTCTCCACATAGGTGTCTCAAATCTTAATTGATCTTGGCAAAGTATTATATAATATAAATTAAATCAGATTTTATTCTATCTTCGTCTCTAGCGACCTTCTTTTTAACCTTGGCAACTGCAAGCTTTTTTCAAGCTTTACTGAATCGAAATAACACTGAATCTTTATGAGACCCAGAGTCATAAACCTGGAAAAAGAAATTCGTTTTAAGCTGCACCACCCAATTACGAGATGAATGTCTGTACTTGTGGCAATCTAGTGTTATCTTTTGTAAGATAATTTGATGTGTTTGGAGCCAAGCGAAGCACTTATTTCTCTTTATTTAAAAGTTTAGCGCTTTTCAAACCCTTCGTTCAAAGAAGGGAAACGCGATTGGTATTTAGCGGTTTATGTCTCACGTCTCGACCTACTCTCCACAGGTTTTCATCATTCTAATTGCAAAGTGAACCGCTTCGATTTTTTTAGAGACCTCAAGACCAATTATGTTGACATCGAATTGGACTTGAGCTGAAAGAATAAATAACAAAGAATAACTTTTTTGAGAATTAAGTTAAGAATCGCGACTAATGGCTCATCCATTTAGTTAAATTACCGAAAGGATCTTATCGGCTAATCCTTTTTCGTTCATCATCAAACTTGAACCAATTTTGATCTTTTGTTATTTTGTTTGCCAGACAAAACAGAAAGAACATCTTGTGCTTGTCACTTTTACGTTACCATGGCAACTTCATCAAACATCTTTGTAATCGACGTCGGCCCATTCGATTCTCGACCTTAACCTTTTTTGAACTGTTGCTTATTTCAACGCCTTGGTTAAGTGCCAACGCCGTTTTTGATGATGATAAAAAGCAAGTCACCATCCCAGTGAGACTTTGGTATTCAGTGAAGAGTTGGGCAGTTAAAAGTCCTACATTCTCCTCCTGTTAGCGAAGGTTATCAAAATTGAAAAAATAATTATTTCTCTATGCCTGTTGCTTATCAAGTGATAGGTCGCACTTCTTTGAGGTGGCACAAAACTCCTGCCCGTATTACTCTTATCTTTGGCTTTTCAGACACCCAATAAATATGAGTAGGATTTATCTACAAAAGCTCAACTGTTAGAAGGTTCAACGGTGAGATATGGCCTCTGATAACGACTGGGTTCCCTGATCAATAAACTTTATCTCTTTCTTGAACTATTTCAAACAAACATTGAACGACTCAACCAGGCCAAAGCTATTCTTCCCAATTTGAAATATTTGATCTTAATAGTTTCTTACGTCATTTAGCTTTCAAATGCAAAATTCTTCGCCAGCATTGTAGTGCAAACTTCGTCGGCAAAATATTAATTGAAACTACTTCGCGGATAAAGTCAGATGTTTTACGGGAGTTGCGTAATGGTTAAGAACAAAGCCTCTAACTCTTAGAAATAAATATCAAAGCTCCGCTAAGAATCATCATCTGCTAAAAAAAGGAATAAAATAGACAAGTAGGACCACGCACGCAAAACGATTTTTTTTGTTGCAGTTTTCTACGTTGTAAATCAATGGTCTTAAGTTTGATCAGACATCCGTTAAATTTTAATTGGATAGCGTGTTACGGAATCTGTCAAGATGACAGACGTGTAATAAATACGGTCATACGGCGTAAATGTAGCTCACTTTAACTAATTACTTATCAATCACTGCTCATTTTCGGCGCGCATTGAAGTATGTAGTCAAAATACATCAGGATAGATTTGCCGCAAAGAAATCTCGCTTCACCTTTTAAATTTAACTTAACCCCAGACGGTCGTTTTCCTATAGAAACCTTAAGGCACATTTTCGAGCGCGTCGCTAATTAAAATGTAAAATTTCTTAAATAAAAGCCCCCTGTCATGTTAATTACGTGAACTGATTTACAGAGAATTCAGAAATTACGCGAACTGGTCGTACATAGCGACAAGAAATTGCGATAACACCTCGAAATGCGCAATCCTGACAGATATTTCTGAGGCTGGAACGAAAACTAAAATTTCTAAACGGTTGCGGTTAGGCTGAAAGGTACCATCTAGATACGGCACGGATTTGCAAAATGGCACAACACAGAATCACATTTGGTGGTCTGAGACATTTGCGTAGTGTCAAAAATACGCTCACACTAGTAGGACCATCCACACCTATTCGAAGGCTCGGGGCGACAGATTTTCCAACCCTTACTACACACATTTCAGCTGAGTGACTCAATGGCCTTTTTCAAAATGCTTTCCATAATAAAAATATCCGGGTCATGTCCAAGAGGAAACTTTTTACATAACTGTACGCTCTAGACACTCAAGTGCGCGAATAACTTATTTCATGATTTCCGATTTTTACACGTACATTTTAACAAATAATAACACAGAAAAAAAAAAAAAAAAAATCTGGAATGTTTCTGAAATTTAGTGTACGTGTTATTCATAGTATGACAAAGTCGTTAGTACTTCTCACCTAAATCCCTCTTACAGATTTTCCTCGAAAGGGCATCCTCATCATTTAAAGCTGGATCACAAATCGAGTCTATGACTGAAAAAAAAAGTATGAAAAAGATCATCTCTTGGTAGGAAATACTTAAGAGATCGATTCAACGGAAACAATTCTTCTGACTTCCGTTGCTTCGCGCCCTTTCCGTAAGCACCTCTATATTTGGCAATGGTTTGGTTGGTAAAAAGCAGATTGGCACAAAACAATCTATTTTGCAGCCAAATCTGACGAATTTTCTCCTTAAGATGGTCAAACTAACAAAGTTTCAAAGGTCGATCGTTAGAAAAGAGGATATTATGAATCTTATGTTTAGGGTTAGCAATCATTCGTTCTTAGCGTTATGTAGCCTTCAACTTTTTTAATCACCTAGGGTTAAAATAAACATCTGAAAGACGTAAAGCGTACAATTTACATCGATCACCGACCACAAATTTTAAAAGTGTACCTGGAGGAGGAGGCTTTGGGGTTGAAACGAAGTCTTCTCGCACGCACATGGTGTCGTCCTGGTACCCCGAGCAATTAAAGGCAAAGTGAGTTGGCCACGAATAATTATGTCTACCCATCACCGGCTGACAGCTCTTCTTCACGCTGTTACAAAACGACTTGCACAACTTGATGCTGACGTGTTCCCCGCTCTCACTGTCAAACAGGCAAATCGGCGCGTAAATGGCGCACAAGAACAACTTCAACCCAGAATGGCAAAGTCCGACGAGAGGGGTCCAGGGCATCATCGCCTGGACGGTTTCCGCGAGCTTATAATTGTTGAAAGCGTTTGGGAGTCGCATATGTGAGTAGCTATCGCTGTTAGTCAAGTTCTGGCAGAAAGGCGGCACAGGCTCACAGCGTCCTCTAGGCCTGGAGCTATATCCGTGTGATGTGGCAGCGACCGAACAAGCCACTACAGCAACGATGCAGCAGCTGAAAAGGAACTTCATGGCGTCGCTTTCTTTGCGGTTGTGCTGGCGATAAATCCACGATCTTCGAGACAGGATCAGACGGTGGCGTATTTTAACAAGTGGACTGTGGGCGGTGCTTGAAGTATATTGATCGAATTTCCAGCTTTTCTGCCAAACACAAAAGGCACTGTCAAACACTTTCACGAGCAACAATGGCATGTGAAACATTTACGCGTGTCATCTAGGGAAGTGCTGATATTCTTAATGAGCTATTGTCTTGAGTCTCATTTGAATGCATGTCAATCAGGCCATGTTTTGGGAAATTTAAAAAGAGGGCTTAATTCCTGAAAGTTTGAATTGGCAACGTACAACCTTTGGAACTTTACATCCATTAAAAATCAATATTTCTGCCCCATGAAAAGCACTGGTATTCATTCGTCTCAATTGCTGTTGAACAATAGAAAAATCTGCATCTGCACTTTCGGTATTCAAAGCAAACATCGGCTGCGATGGCGGTAATAATGACTTTTCTTCATGCAAGATGAAATCTCTTTGGTTCTGTTTTGCTTACCGAAAAAAAACATTTGACGCCTTTTCTCGTCTTATACTCGCTTCACTTCTCACGAAGATTAAGTGGATTACGAGCAAGTAAATGGTAAATGGTGTTAGTGATGTGTGAGACCTTCACACCACTGTGGCTAACAAATCTTAATGGCTGGCTTTTTGCACCCTAATCCGGCAATCAATTCTACACAGCGAGGGACAAAGGTTGGGGCATAGCAAATGCCATTTGATTAGTCTCTCCCATATGAAGGTGTTCATGAATTGTCCTTGCTATTACTTAAACAAACAAAACTTATGACAGGGGTTTCTTAGCATGTGTAAAATCCCTGTCTGGGTCCTTATCTGCTTATAAATTTCAGCACGGTAGCATACGATTGCTAAATTCAGCACGCGAAATCCTGTTCAGGCGAAAACCCGGGGAGCAGGGATATCATGATAGAGGCGAGAGTTCAGACCGCCCACCAATGTTCCCTGGGTCGATTTTCTTCATTCTGTTCTCGTCCTCGCTCAGAGATTCTGGTATTCTCTCTTCCGTAAGAGTCGATCGCCTACATTTCAATTCCACCTATAAATACAGGCCCTGCTCCTTGACTGTGTTTCCTTAAAGAGGCGTGCAAGCTTTCCATGCGATTACCCGCCATTCAAAAATGATGATTTGAATCGGAGCGATTATAAAGCTTTTGTCAAAACTTTTGATCTGCAGCTTACCTGTATGTGTTTAAGTCAGAGTTAACTCTCGACAAGGTTGCCGTCTACGTCTTAAAAGTATGTGAAGTCAATATGAGTGTTGAATGATTACTTCTCCGTCTATTGAACGCAGGAGGAGAAGATAAATTCTTTAGTTTGAATCGACATTCAAATGTTTTCAGTAAGACCGAAGTCTAATAAAACATCAAAATACTATATTTTCAGCTTGTCTTCTTGAGGTATTTCGTTGCAAAACGGAGAAGAAGACAAAATATAACAAATCAGACGAGAAAGGCTTTAGTGAATATCATTCTCGGTGGAAGTGGAGCTTTTAATCCTTTAATTCCTATGAGTGACGAAGACAAAATTTCTCCCGACAACATCAATACAATATCAGCTGACAAGTAATGAGAATAACGAAAAGTATCAATTAGGGAACTATTAGTTAATCTAATACCAAATTCTCTATACTAACATCATAAGAATTATTTGCCCGCCCATTTGGAAAAATTCGAAGCGTTATCAGTACAGGCAGCAGTGGGATATCGTATAAGTTGCCTCGATAGACCTTGGATATCATAGTTTTACTGCAATTTGCGATAGCGAATGTCTCATGTTGGCTGGGTAGACTTAATGTATCAAAGGTCTAACGGTTTTTTACACACAAATTATTTCATACCATGATTCATCATTTATCAACTGCTGTCATCCAACTCAGGGCGCAAACAAATTTAGGCTAGAAACATAAAATGTGGGAACAATAATCAATATTCTTCCGCAAGGTTCAAGTGATGCTTATTAAAATTCTCTTAAAACTCTTTCATGGGGAGCTTAAATTAACCCGCGACTGAAGAAGTCCTAAACAAGGACGCTTGGAATCGACCTTAACTGTCAAAAATGCATCCATCATTCTATCACCTCGAAACACGCCTTCCCGATAATTGTATAAATTAATATAACTTCGAGCAGTTTGCTCGTTGAACATGACCTTCAATCGTAACTTTCGCCATAACGTGCTAGTTAAGATTAAGTGAAACCACAAGGAGATGTACAATGTTACTGACGTTTGCAGGAAAGAAAGAAAAAAACCGTGCTTAGATACACAGATATCGGGAAATTAAAAATGATAAAGAGGTCGTCTACCAAAGATGGGAAGGGAAACGTCGGAATTATTTCAACACCTATCTTATACCGCTTGCGAAGAAAGTGTCAAAGGATTGAGACAGTCGAAATTTATTATAACATTGTTGGTTAGCCGCTAAGTATTCAGAAGAAGTTTGAAATTCATTGACCAAGGCGTGGAAATGCTATTAATACCGCAACAATTTAAGGTGGAAATAGATTCTTGTCTTAGGTGGCCGTTGCGGTTTTGAGGTATTCTCCTACGTGTTGGCCTTTAGGACATTCAAGCCCGCCAATTTGCCCTAATATGCCTAAAATTTTAAAACCATCCAAAGAACTTTGTAACAGTTACACCACCACTGATTTTAAGTTTCTTTGTCAAAGAGAAGCTGCAGCAAAAAGAAAAAACAATAAGCGATGCTTCACTTTGCCAAATTGACGACATGAAATAAAAATATTTGTTTGCTCCTAAATGCTCTGGGTAATACATTCACTTAAGGTTATTTCACAGACAACAACGGGCGCGATAAGAATTCAATGCTAAGTGAAAGTTTTCATCCAAATATAATTTATGTTCATGATCTGCTATCAAATTGCAAAGATCGAGCATTTACTAGCCGTAATTGGAGTGATATAAAACCGATGGCGATTTTTAACAATAATAGTGGAAAAGGAATTTGCTTAAAGTTCTCAAACGTCGCTGTTCAAACATTGGTTGAGAAGGGGAGAAGGTAATTTTTCATAATCAGAGCAGGTTTATTAGTGGGAATTTACTTTATTTAGTAAATGGCTTGCAAACAGTGCTGAAAATGATCTTAGTTACCTCACTCAAAATTCAAATAAATCATGAATTTTGCTCAAATTTTGCATAAAATGCCTTCACCCTTGAAAACGAGAATAGAGTAACCTCGTTCGTGGGTCTTCATTTCGATGTAAAGCTATGTGACGAGGTTGAGTGTTATCAAGACTTAGCTCTGCATGGAATAACAAGAAGGAATTTTGATTAAATAGCTGAAATTTGACTGTGTTCTATGAACACGGAGTGATGACATCTGTCAAAACCAAACCCAGACGAAAAATTGCAATCATGATCATGGAAAGAAAAAGAAAAAAAAAAAACATCAACAACAGCGACAAAAACGACAAAGGTTTTAGGAGGGAAAGGGTAAGAGGACCAAGAAGTGTATCATTTTCAGTGGCAGTTGTTTGAGTTGTTTTAAGTCTATTTTTCTACCAAAAATACAGCTTTCAAGGCATTTATCAATCCTTAGGTTTAGGAGTAAAATCTCTGAGAAACGTTGGCACACTTTGTTCGCCGGAAGAGGAGTTTTTCAGCGATGAAGGTGTGCACCTCCCTTATTTTGTTTCATGCATCCGTCTTCTCATCACATAATGAAAGCCCCAAAGCCCCAACGCTGTTCAGAAAGACAGACAGACATCTATATTTATACAGGATAGCTCCTTCAATGTAGTAAACACTGGTATCAACGGGGGTCCTGTTACCCACCCCTCCCACTCCAGGGGAGGATACAGTAATCTCGTGCATGGGAAATTAACGTCTCCTGCCCCTAACCCTGCAGGAGACGGGACCTCCATTTATTCGTCCCTATCCGAGAAGACTAGAATATCTAACCATTTCTTGATGTTATAGAAAGGTAGCATACTCTTTTCAATTATTTTAAGACCCTGAATGTTGGTCCGGCCGGTATTGAACCCTCGACCTCCCGCACAACAGTCTAGCGCTCTATCCATTGAGCTAACCAGGACGCGGTTCAGTTTTTTTTTCCCTCAAGCGCAAGGGACGTTTGCCCCGCTAAGAGGGCAAAAAATGTCCAGGTCATCACCGTAGGTTTGCTGACCGAAAATTGCAAGTTTATAAGGTAGGTCTGCCTACTATATGAAGTTTTGTCGGAAAACAACATTTTAACAGTTACCAGAACGAACAAGTTCGTTTGGTAGTTTGCACCATGGCCGTTTGATCGAAGGAAACCTTACGATTATAATTCGTTATGGGAGGTAAAAACCTAAGAAGTAAGAATCAATGGAAATGAAACGGAGGTGATTAGTGACGGAGGAGAAGGAATTAGATTACAAATTACCAGTTGCATCTAAACGCCCAGATGGGGGAAAGGAGGAGTGGAGGTTAGAGGTTATTCCACTTGGTGGGGGGTGCTCTGCTTTTAAATCCCCGCCCTTTTGAAGAAAAAGCATCTTTTTGCACACCTATTTTTAGTCATGGTGCCTAGAATCCACATTTGTTTTTAGACCTGTATCATGAAAGTTCAACGTCTCCTGCAAATCAATCAAATACAACTTTTTTCTTAATTATATCGTTCGTGAATGACAAATTCAAGAGTTACTAAATTCAGTTCAGACAATACATTTTCATTTTGTTAATTTTCAGTCTCGTTATACGCACTACTGGTTCCTTTGAAAACCATACTCGATTAGAGAATATAATGGTCAAAATATATCTCCTTTTGGACCAAAATGACCACACTCTTTAAAGCGGCGCAACCCTGTTTAATTTAAAAAGGAGAGTAACAACTTTCCACCCTGGGGCTAAATTTTTGCAAGAAAGCTTACTTCATTCCTGAGTCCAGTTGAAAGATTATACAAAGCGATTTAGACATAAATAGAAGAAAAACAAGTTTGAGGTCTACACGTCCCCTTAGAAACTTCTCCAGAATGTATTTGATTGGAAGCGAAGAAATACGAAGAACAGGGTTCACCAAACCTTTTGCTTACAAGTCAGGGACTGGTGACACTCCTTGCTCAGTTACTGAGCCTAACCTCTGACCACTGACCAAAGCGGGATAGGGTGATGGGAAATTTGTGTGCTAGAGCTTTCTTGATTGCAGTGTCTGTGTTACGTCCGTTGCATCTGATATCGCCTCGAAAAGAAACTTTGATCTCCCAGGTAGGTGTCTGGAAAGGCGTTTGTGGTCCGCATTGAATTTTCAACTTAGAGAAATTTTCAATTCAATGTCGAAAAGTAGTCTGACATTGCATCGGCTTTTCTTTACTTTACTCTGTGATTGGACAAAAAAAAAACTCGCACCACTCTCTCAACCAATCAGAAACAAAACGAAGAAAATCACAACTTGGTCGCCTGCGTTTTCCCGCGCTTTCGACAATTTATTTGTTTTACTTTAAGTTCTCATTGACTTTGAAAAGTACAGTGGAACCTCGATTTAACGAAGTACCAAGGGACTGGAGAAATTGGTTCGTTATATCGAGGTTCTGCGGCATACATTTTACTTCAACTTGAGCCGGGCTGAAACTGAAGTATCGTTTCTTAGACTGAGGACTTCATTATATGGAGGTTCGTTAAATCGAGGATCCACTGTATTCTTCTTCCTTCTGATTGGCTGGTGTGATTAGTTTGGTTTTTACGAAACTGTATCGAATAGCGCTCTTAGTGAACATCGAATAACTGCAATTACACATGGAATGCCATGAAATTTCCCTCGACTATATTCCTCTTTTCCTTAATCAGTTTCCTTTGTCAATTAGTTTTCCTTTTCCCATAGTCTTTGAGCTCTCAAGTGATGGCAAATATATTGATTATTGAATTTTTCCCTTCAGGAGAAAACATTCTCTTGTTCCCTTACATTGTTGTGACTGGAGAAAACAAATTTAAAAGCCCTTTTGCAAGTAGGAGGAAAAATAATGTGAATTCTGAGATCATGCACGTTTTCACTTTTCTGTCGTGAGGCACGCATGCAGTCACGCAAGTTTGAGAAGTTAGGGTTAACCAAAATCGTATTTACCTTGCCTTATGCTCAGTTCTCATTGGTTGTTTTCTAGTGTGTCTGTTTGTTTATGTGGAGCAGTTATCTTTAAGCCAGTGTCTTGACCCAAGGATATAAATAAGAAGTGTTTGTGAGTCCGTAGTTCTAAGGCGAAACAATTTCTTTTACACTTGTGTCCTCTTTTTTTTTTTGCGTCTGGTTGTTTTTTTTTTTTTTGCGTCTGGTTTTGTTTTTTTTGTCTGTTTGGTGATGTAATGCGGTTATCTTTTAGCCCGATATGCTTTGTCCAGAGATTAAAGTAAGATGTGTTTTTGGGTCCGAAGTTCGAAGCCGAAAAAATTTCTTTGCCACTTGTCTACAGAAAGGAAATTGACAAAGCAATGAATAACGATCCAAGATAAGCGGTATCTTCACGAAGGTAGCACTTACATCTTGCTCATCATGAAATACCATCAGAGGACTAAACGCGCGTTGATAAACATTACGTGCAAATAAAGCAATAGCTTGTCTTTATGATTTGCAAATAGATCGAAACAGACCAGAAACCAAAATTTTCATATGTCATACTGCAAAGGATTCGTTATCTCTCTCCTAGTTCGGACCCTACATTTCGGGATACGGCAGTGACGCAGAAAGGAAAATTACCCTTTCAATTCATTTGCCTCACACCAAAATATTCGGCTAAAAGAATAAAAAACGTCAATGATGGCAGAGATGAAGTGTTAATGTGCGATGAAATAAGTATATTCAAGGTCACGAAAATGGACTCGTCTTGTTTTCTCCAACTCTTTTGATTACAGAGAATAAATTTACATAAGTAGAGGCTACGTTAACGTATGTCCTTACCCAATATTCGGCC